TTCTCAAACTCTTAAAACATATAGCTCAAGTGTAATGGTTTTCCTCTGCTTGACATTTTGTTCACGTATTGCTTTTCCTGCTGTAACAGCCAACCCTGCCTCCTCCTGGGCAACTATCTCACATGCCCCTCCTTCAAGGAGCCTTTCATGATCTGCCAACTAGAGATTATCACTCCCTTCTTCAACTCCTCCATGGTATTTGTCTGCATCTCTTTTATTGCATCAATCTTATGCAGCAGTGTATTATACGGAATTATATCCTTAGTGGATTTTTCCATTTGTTTTGTTTTTACTGTATTGTTTAGACTTTAAAGACAAAAATATTTGTTTTCTTTGGATTTCTTTCTGTCATGGAGGGACCTCAAAGTTTTTCAAATTAATTTCTTCAATTGACTTGAATTCAGAGAACATCCTACAAATTTTACTCTATGTGTGGGTCTTGCAATTTTATTCTTTTGGAGATAATTCTTATTCTAAGAAACTAGTGTGGTTTGTGGTTTAGAGTCATGGTTTAAGCTGCCCTCAGGAAGAATAAAAAACAGCTGGTGTCCAAGGAGCTCTGGAAATTAGTCAATAAACTAATTGTAGAACAGAAGCCAAGAGTAGAAAGTTTTACTTGCAAATTTTAAGTGCTATCTATATTATTTCTGTGAAGAGACACTGTTTTAGAAAATTAAATATTTCAAAAAAATGTTTTTTTTCTTTTTACTAAAATCATGGACAATATATTTGAACAAAATATTATACGACTGTAAGATGAATGTCAACACTAGTGTTCAAATTGCTTGTGCTTTAGTCAAGTGTATACTGTTTAACATAAGCATTTACTTAAGGAAAGTAAAACTGATTTTAAGGAATTTTTTTAGAATCTAAGAAAAACTTTTAATTCAGGCGTGGAATCAAATATTATTATAAATGATGAGAAAAACTCTATTAAATCATTTATAATATCAAAATTGATGCTAATTATAAACATATAACAGTTCACAGGGATTTCAACTAAATACAACAAACGATGGTCGATCACTATCTATATACGAGAAATTGCCTAAGAAAACATAAATGAATACAAAAATGAATAAATATAAACACAGCACCCAGAAAGCTCAAAATCAGGAAGTTTGCAAGACATACACAAGTAACTGTAACTCACTTGAAGAAAGCAAGCTATGGGACCATGAAGTGCTATACCAGCTCGAAAGTAGGAGAAATCACTTGTGGTCATGGATATAAGAAGCATTCTGACATCAAAAGCTTGAAGGATAGGATTGTAAATAAAAAGATAAACTAAGGAAGAGATTTCAGAGGGAGAGAAAATGGAGTGTTAAAAGGCTCAGGGAGTTGTAGATGAAAGGAATTACAAATCAGGCTGTGCAATTAGAAGAAGCCCTGAGCCAAAGACCATCTTCTATGAAGTTCCCTTGGGTGATATCACTCACTGAGGAGAATTTGAACACACGGCTGGTGATCAGAGCACATATATTTGTGAGGTATCAAGTGAGGGGTGTCCTAAGTTTCTGAGGTACGTAGAACAGGTTACGAACTCCGCTATCTTTCACATGCTCACAATCCAAATCAATGTTGAACAAGTTTAACTAAAGGTAACAGTGTCAAACTAAGATCTGCGTTTTCTGTCTAGCCTAGAGAATTAAAGTCACTTATAGTCCCTGCTTCAATCTCCAAGCCACCTACTATACTGTATTTCCCTCCAAGTTCCTCCGAATCTTCATGAGGGATCGCGATGAACGTTTTCCAGTGGCCAATTTACTCAAAGAGTCCTTCTAATTTATGATTTCACTCAGTTGAGCACATTTTTCTAAATGAAGTGATGGATGTTCTCCCCTTCCGGGCCCTTGTCCAGACTCCTTACTCTACCTCTCTTCCTTCATCTATGAGAGTGGCTCACTCCCTCACCCATTTCCAGGCCCTTTCAGTGAGCTCTTTTCCTTGGCTACCTATTAAAAATCAAACCCTTGGCCGGGCGCAGTGGCTCAAGCCTGTAATCCCAGCACTTTGGGAGGCCGAGGCGGGCGGATCACAAGGTCAAGAGATCGAGACCATCCTGGTCAACATGGTGAAACCCCGTCTCTACTAAAAATACAAAAAAAATCAACTGGGCATGGTGGTGCGTGCCTGTAATACCAGCTACTCAGGAGGCTGAGGCAGGAGAATTGCCTGAACCCAGGAGGCGGAGGTTGCGGTGAGCCGAGATCGCGCCATTGCACTCCAGCCTGGGTAACAAGAGCGAAACTCCATCTCAAAAAAAAAAAAAAAAAAAAAATCAAACTCTCACCACATCCTCTGTATTTTTCTTCATAACTTTATCACCTAACATACTATGTAACTTATTCACCTGGCTTATTGTCTAATTCTCTACCCAGGGAGCCAAAGCTGTCTGTCTATTTTACTCATGAATGTGTCCCCAATTATATAGCCTAACATATAGTCAATGTTCAACAAATATTAAATATTTCATAAATATTAAATTAACAAATACATGGGTGAATCAAATATATGCACTCTACTTACATGAGTATTTGAAACAAGCCCTATTTTACTTTCTAGCACTTAATGTTCTCATTATTTATACTGAATTAAGGAGAGTTTACAAAGCATCTACTATGTAATCAGCAATGGATCTCTAGTTCTTACAAAATAAATCATATATAGTGGTTCTGATACTTGAAAAAAAATTAAGAAAGGAATAATAAACACAGTATGAAATTATAGGATTTCAGAAGGCATTTTAAGGAAAGAAAGAAAGATACCTTGACATCTTCAGGGGTCCCGCTATGGGGCATTTCCTCAATGCAGCAAGTGAGAAATCTTCCCCAAGAGAAGCATGGGCTTTGAAATTACACAGACCTAAATTCTAATTCCAGCGGTACCATTCATTATCCTTACCACCTTGGCCTGGTCATTAACATCTCGGGTCTAAGTGATTTCACTTGTGAAATGAAGATCACAATGTTAACCTCACACGAAGAATGTAAGCTATCAAATGAGATCATCTGTGGAAACAATTAGTCAAGTCCTTGGCATACGGAAGCAATTAAATAAATGCATGTGGAATGAATTAATTCTTGATAAGTGAGGGAAAATAAAGCTAGAAAAAAAATGTGTCTTTTTTCATCCTACTTCTACTGTGTTTACCTAACTATGCCTTTCCTCATGGTGAAACCGCTGACCTCAATAAGATAAAAATAGTGAATTGCATTATTTGATTGGTTATTATATGTACTGTTATTCTCATTTTATAGATAAATAAATTGGGTCTTAGACATGTTAAATACCTTGTGCAAGGCCACAAAGTAAGCAGCAGAGTTAGGATTTAAACCAGATGAGCTCGCCTTCAAAGCTGCCTCAGTAGTCTTTGTCCTCACTTTAGAATCATGTGATTGCTGCAAATTCTCTAAACTCATAATTGGGATATTATGCCTTTCTGAGCTTGTGTGGCATCTTAGGCATATTTCTTTCATAATTTTTAGTAATTTAAAAAACACATTTATTCCTCTACTTTTTATATATTTACATCACTTTCTAAAAACATCTCTTTTGTATGAGTAACTGTTTCTGCCTTTAGATCCTGAATGGGTTTTCACTGGGCATCTTTCACAAGAAGTTCAAAGAAACCCATCAAAACTAATGTTTGTTGAAGATCTAGTCAGCAATAGGCTCTGGTCTGATTATTCCTCAACTCATACATTTATCATAACAACCTATGTGGCAGACACCACCTTTATCTTCATGTTAGAGATGATGAAAATGAAACAATGTGGTCATTAGTTCATTCAGCATATACTTCAGGACTAGGATTCAAACCCTAGCATTTAGACTACAGAACCCACATTCTTAATCATGAGACTATATTGCTCCTCACACACCAGGACTGATTACATCTTCTCTTTCTTTATAAATTCTAAAATACGCATTTTCACAGAGTCTAAATTGTACTTCTTTGAACTATGACTCTCTTACATCATTTAGCAAGTTTCTAGCTTTCCTGTGACATTGGCATCTGCAACTAGCCAAAGTTTTTAATATAAAACTTATTTATATAAAATAAGTGAATCTAGAATATGATAAAAATCCCAAATTTTAGTTCAGCACATATAAAACTGTTACTGGTACCACCTCCCCTCAGCCCAATTTGGAAAAACCATATTGATGGTCTTCATCGCCTTAAACAGGCTCCAAACTATGCTCTTGTAAGATGCTGGATCATAACCTTTAAATCATAACCTTGCATAAATTCAAAACCAAATATAAACTTTAACAAGACCTTTTCCTTTCAATACTAAATAATTTTTTTTTACTTCCTAAGTAAAATGATTTAAACATTGTCTATTTTAAGAGAGAGCAAAGAATGTGTTCACAGCAAGTTGGAACAGTGTGCAAATCCACTGGCTTCACTGTTATCTGGATGGCAAAGCATTAAATCACAAGGAGAAAAAGTCAGCATGTTCTCTTAGAATACAAATAGATTAGCGTCAGAAAAGCTTTGTCCAAGGAAGGGAAAAGATACCTACCCAGAGAATAAATCATGCATATGAAACCTATAATTTTTAAAAGTATTTTCAAAAAATGTCATAACTGATAAATATGACTATTAGATAAACACAGAAAATGTTCATGTGACATTTTTTAAGTGGACTTTTCAAATGTGATCAGTCAATATACCCCACTCTTTATCTATGATTCTTATATAAGATACAATCCACCAGTAGCTATGGAACTCTAAGAAGAAAGTCTATGTATATTCTGTCTGCCTGTCTGTCGGTCTCTGTCTCTCTGTCTCTGTCTCTCTCTCTCTGATTCTATGATGCAACAGTACTAAACATTATTAGGCACATACGAATCTTATGTTAAGACATGTAAAAAGTCCATATACCCTGATGTATAAAAACTCGTGGTCATTTGAGCTTCTGCTAATGTACAATTGAAAGCTTTCTCATTCCGAACTCAAAAAAAAAAAAAAAAAAGAGAATTCTTCTTCTTACCATATATTCCATATTTGCTGCTGGTGGGAACACTTTGCCCCGAACTTGATTATGATAATCAAGAATGGCGATCATGTCATTCTGCGAAATGTAGCGCTTCCGCCTGGCTTTGGGGATATCCGCCGAATCCAGTTGTGCTTTCAGAGCTGCTTCAATATCAGTGAAATTATTGGTTGGCAGGGATGAGTCAGTGGAATTGAGTAGGACGACGGTACTTGCTTCACAGAGAAGAGAGAACAGGAGTGCACTGCCGACGGCAGAGACTGCTATCATTTTGAGGGGTGGAGAAGAGGCCACCGAGTTTACTTTGCTTTAAAGCAGAAAGGTAGAGTTAGGGTCTTTGAAAAAAAAAATATGGCCAGAGGGTATGAATTTACAAAGTCATCATTTGGGAGCATTGCTTGATTTGACTTTCTCCAAAAATTCAAACAAATGTTGAACTCAAGCCTAGGAGATAACCTACAGTAAAATCTCTTTTATTTTGTTTAGTGTCATGAGGCAGACCCCTGAGAGGAACTTCGTACAGCAGAGAAAAATAAACAGCATAACCACTAACACTGAAATGAATGTGAACCATTTGCCCCAAATGTCTGAACCACAAAATGCATTACTGCATATTTATTTTCAGTGGGAAATCTTCAGGAATTGAAATTCACCTTGAGAGTGAAGAAAAATGAATCACAGGTGACAACAGAGAATGTGCTGATAATGTCTGCCAGACATATAGACACACCAAATGATAGAACACATACAAAATTTACAGTAATCCAATCTCATTTCTTTAAAAAAAAAATGTGAGCTACTTTAAAATCAAGGCATGCAATATAAACTTGTTGAACTAAATGGCTTACCTCTCTGCACAATGCCAAAATGAATATATTGTTCTTCCAAAAATTTAAAGTTCTTTGCTATGTTGTAGCATGAACTCTTGTAAGAGGAGTGTGTCTTATTACAAACTCTCTGAGAGCAAAGCTCTGCAAGGTTTGAATGCTGCTGGCTTCAGGAGCAGCTAACAGCTTTTATATGTCACAGTTTGCAACGTCCAGAAAGGGCAGTCTTTCTAAGGGTCTCTCTTAGCCAAAATCAAATGGGAGGGATTTGGGGTAGAAAAAACAGTGATTGGTGGCAACTTTTTTATGTGGGTGGTAAGGAAATTGAGTCACACCCACAGCTTACAAAGTGCAAGCCATAAAAGACAAACCCCTTTTTCTTTGGGCTTCCACCTTTTCTGTGAGTAATTTCTCTCATTTTATGCTTTCTAGTTCCCAGTTCCCATACAAAAAGAAGAAACAAAGAAAAAAAAAAAAGACTGTGGGTTCATGAAAACACAGACGGTTGAGTAACAGCAGTACATTTTTTAAAGACGGTAAATGACATGGGAGCTAAAAAGAACAAGCTGATATTAAATCAAGAGATCAGCTAACATAGTTAATCTGGGTGGCCACAAATATGATTCAAGAGGGATGCCAGGCAAATCAGTAGTAACCAAACTATAGCATATGATATTAGGATAATAGATGCTCAAGTGGCTGTGCTCTCTGCTTCAATGTGGCCGCATTCCCGAACTTTATATATTTATTCTTCCCTTTCTCATTTTGCCTTCTCTCCCTTTTTTCTTTCTCTACAGAGTGAGGTCAGAAATTACTTGCTTTTTACCTGCCTTGTATAAAGCATGAATAGAGAAGCTCATGGCAAATGACAGCAGCCAAGATAACATCTGTTTCAGGTTTAGAAGCATATAGTTGAAATTTTAAGCAGAGAATAGCTCAGCCTCTCAGAAAACATATTGAAGGGCACAACACAGAGGCCATGAAGAATTTTAACAGCAGCACCAGCTGCCAACAATTGTTAGGAGAATGTCATAGAGGCAAAATCCGTGTCAGGCAAAGCAAGAAGAAGAATGTGAATATTGGTGCTCTGTATTGAAAGGATTCTCCCCAAAATGCATCCTGACCTCATTAACAATACATGGACCATTTACAGTCAGTAGCAATAGGAATCCTGGAAAACACACTCTTCACTCTAGAAATTTACTTAACATACCCTGATTTTTTCCAGCTTGCTAATGTGATTGTCTCCCACATGTTTCAGCAGAAGAAATACTATGTGAATTTACAGTCATCAGAAACGATGGTCATGTGGCACACTGGACAGGGAGCCAAGTTTCCTAGGATATATTCCCAGGTGGGTCACAAGTAGTATGTGTGGCCAAATGCACACTGTTTAACTCTTCATTGGTGCACCTAAAAATGGGAGAGAAAAGATGCATGTTCTGTGCTGAGAAAGACGTCATCAAGTTACTTAAGAGGGTAGTGAAGTGTGCCAGAAGTGTCACTAAAATTCAAACTACAGTGATAAGACACAGAGTTAACAATAATATATACCAAAGGTCAGTTTTTGACATATTTTGATGACTACTAAACTCCTAACTAAAGTGAAATTGTTTTAAGAGCTCTAGCTGAAATACTGAGAGCTGTAAACAAGGAATTAACACTAAAATTGAAAAGGCACAAACAGATAATATAAACTCAGAAGGTGAGCATGGATATTATGAAACATTGGAGCAACCAGAGGAAATTGACAGGGTTGTTCACAGCTGCAGATCTTTAACAAGTGGAGCTGTCCAACCAGGGTCTCACAACTTCAGAAAGTATTCAGGGCACCTTAAACATATTTCAAAGATGCTATATTAAGGATTCCTGAATCAAATCAGAGATTAGAAGAGAAACTCTCTGTAGGCCATCCAGCTCTAAGATCCCTGGACTTTTTTTTTTTTTTTTTTTTTTTTTGGGACGGAGTTTCGCTCTTGTTACCCAGGCTGGAGTGCAATGGCGCAATCTTGGCTCACCGGCAACCTCCGCCTCCTGGGTTCAGGCAATTCTCCTGCCTCAGGAATTACAGGCACGTGCCACCATGCCCAGCTAATTTTTTTTATTTTTAGTAGAGACGGGGTTTCACCATGTTGACCAGGATGGTCTCGATCTCTCGACCTCGTGATCCACCCGCCTCGGCCTCCCAAAGTGCTGGGATTACAAGCTTGAGCCACCGCACCTGGCGATCCCTGGACTTTTTGAGAAATTAGTGGCAGCATACATTACCCTTTACTCTCTCTACATCTCTCATACAGCTTCCCAGCTATCTGAGGAACTAGAGGCTTTTAATGCCTGAACAGTAGTCATGAGCCTTTCATCCTCCAGGGTGACTGAGTTCTTGCTTTGAACCTCATAAGAATCAAAAGTTATATTTAAGACTACACCCTTTGTCATATACACAAAGAGGTATTGTCCACCTCTTGGGGTTTGACTTGAAAGACTTTCATAGGGATAAAACTGTGATGCTTGAGAAACTTGTCTATACCAAAAATGGATTTCCTCTAAGTGCAGGAAGTGGCGGGATGGAGGAGGAGGAGAAGGAATTTCTGAGACATAGCTAAACAGGAGATCACCTCTGAGTCCAATTACATTAGGGCGGAGCTGATAGTTGGTTAATCCAGAGACCCTGAGGCATGTCAGTGATTTCAGATGTCTTTCAGCACACATGGATTATGCTGCGGAATTTCGGACTATTAAGGAAACCCGCAAGGCTATGGAATCATAAAAGAAAAGACCTGTGGGAGGAAAGTTAAGAATTCTGCTTCCAAGCAGACATTATTGCCAGAAGTATTTGAAATGCTTTGGAAGTAATTTTAATTTTAAAATACTTGCAAAATTAAGAGGCATATATCCAAGTTGTCAGTAAGAGGACTATTAATGAACAACTAACAATGAGGTGTTTTTTTATGAAGACTCTTCTTGAAAAAGACCATTGACATGTTTTGAAACCTTTAGGAACTGCTTGCCAACAGAGTCAGAAATGGAATGTAGTTATATTACTGAGAAGAAATGCATATACATTCGGCAGTGTCTTGAAACCTGTGAGAAAATGGTTGTTACTTTAAAATGGAAACCAGATGCAAGCATTCTAGAATGGTACACCTGCTTAAGCAAAGCTACTTTGGTGTGTGTATGTGAGTGTGTGTGTGTGTGTGTGTGTGTGCATGTATGTGTGTATGTGCCACATATGCATTTGACTGTAGTCTAATTCTTTTCTTATTGAAATATGTTCTGTGAACTAGTACCCTTGAGATCACCTGGAAGCTTGTTAGAAATGCAGAATTTCAGGTCCAGCCAAGACTCGCTGAATCAGAATCTTCATTTTGTCAGGATCCTCCGATTTATATGCACATTAAGACTTGAGAAGTTGAGAAGTACTATCTAAATCACTATATTTTTAGAGACACAGAGACACAATCTACTACACACATGCCCATTGAATCAGCTATTGGAAAAGGCGATCTATCTAGTAACATGGAGAGAACTCAAGACAATAGAGGTATGCACAAATGTCTTTGAAGTGGAGAACATAAGTTAACCTCTATTTTATATGAAAAAAGAGGGGTCTGGGGGCTCATGTCTGTAATCCCAATGCTTTGGGCAGTCGAGATGGATGAATCATCTGAGGTCAGGAATTCAAGACCAGCCTGGCCAACATGATGAAATCCCGTCTCTACTAAAAATACAAAAATTAGCTGGGTATGGCGGCATGTTCCTGTAATCCCAGTTACTGGGACGCTGAGGAAGGAGAATTGCTTGAACCCAGGAAGCAGAGCTTGCAATAAGCCAAGATGGCGCTATTGCACTCCAGCCTGAGTGACAGACAGACTCAGTCTCAAAAGAAGAAAGACTGGGAAAAGAACACACAGCATCTTGCAAAACGTTATTTAGCAGTGGTGAAAACCTTTGCAAGATTACTATCAACTGTATTTTTAATTTAATACATATTAATTCATCACAAGATTGCTGAAACAATGAAAGGCAGTATATGTGAAAGGGCTCATAAACTGTGATGTGGCATATAAATAAAAAACTATTATTTTATTCCGTCTCCCCAGGACAGAGGCCCAAATCATACATTTTTCCTCACTCTCTCACGTTGTTTCATACATTCAATAACTCTGGAATACATGTGTATTTTTCAGTCTCTGACCTGTTTTGCCAATCTACTCTTTTTATCATGGTCACTATTACTGTGACTGCTTAAAGTTAATGCCTTTATCTTTTTCTAGAATTAGAATAATCACCTTCTAGCTGATATTTCTCACTCTAGTGACTCTTCTCCTACCCATTATCCACACTGCTTTCAGCTACCTTGCTATAAAACAAACAGAATCATTTAACTCAACTACATCTAACTCTCTACTGGCTCTCCATCGTCCACAAGGCCAAGTTCAACTGCCTTGACCTGCCTTACAAGAGCCTTGACTATAAACACACAAAACATATTTTTAAATTTTGAGTGCTCTGTGTAATTTGTATTATATATTTTAGGATATAAATATATTATATATCATTATATATTTACATATTATATACTTTACATTTATATATCATTATAAAATGCCAAAATACTATATTACCAAAATATTTGAGAAATTTTATAAAATATATATGTGTTACAATCTCTTCCTATGTTTGCAGCTTAAATGGGGCTGCAGGATTTACTTCTAGGATTGCTCATCCACATGACTGGCAACTGAGTGCTTCTGGAGGGAGGCCAGTATATGTGGACCCCACCACATAGACTTCTCCATTGAGCTGCTTGATCGTCCTCACAGCATTGAAGCTGGCTTCCTCCAAGTTGAATGATCCAAGAGTGAGCAAGGTAGAAGATACAATGTGTTGTGTGGCCTACCTGTAG